ATAAATTTTGGCACTAATTTTAGTTTGTTTGTGGAAACGAGTATATAAGCATATGTATATAGAGAGTGGTCAAGCCTCAGCGTGATGATGGAATTTAACCATTCTTTATTATTTCTATGAAAAAAAAATATGTTAAAATACGAGTCCCTTTGTGAATTTCTTAACAAGCTTCTTTTTTTTTTTTTTTGGCGAAGAATTGTTAGCTTAAAACCCGACCCCCCAGCTGGAAATACACCAATCGTCGGTTGTCCGCGACTGCTTATTCAGTATATTCGAAGTTGCCTTCCATATCTGGAGACCGTCTCCTCCATCCGCAACCTGAGGATGCGCCATGCCATGGTGATAACAGCCCCATCTATCATGAGCTGCATAACTTGTATTCTCCCCCAAGTAAAATTAAAGTGCTCAAGTCGAGGAGGGCGAAATGGGCAGGGCACGTAGCACGAATGAAGGAGAAGTGGAATGCATATATGTTATTGGTGGGAAGGATAGAGACCACTAGGAATACCACGACGTAGGTGGGTGGATAATATTGAAACGGAGAGAGAGGAAGGGGTGGTATGGACTGGATCTATCTGGCTCAGGATAGGGACCAGTGGAGAGCTCCTGTGAACACAGCAATGAACTTTCGGGTTCCATAAAATGCTATGAAGTTTTTGAATAGCTGCGCAACTGGCGGCTTCTCAGAGCTCAGATCCATGAAATTAGTTAGTTACTAAAACAGTGATAAGTGTTTGCATTGTCTCTAATTTACATTAAACGGAAAATGGTGAACTTGGATTGGTTAATCCAACTGTCTGTACATTTTATTTTGAATGTTGTAGGTTAAATATCATAGCATTATGGATACATGTTATGGATCTATGCAAAGTAAGACATTCCATCCTCCTCAATTATAAATCGAAGACTTGACTGAAGATATTCAGGAAAGTCTGTGTTTTTTAACTGGAATATACACATCAGTTTCCATTAACCCTCTCAGTTCGTCTGTCAGACTTATCTGATGTCTTCTCCAATCAGTGACTCATCCGACAGCCTCAATCAATCTTCCTGTTGTCCTTGTTCTCCCATAACAAGGATTGGATCAACGTCTCGATCCGACCAATAAATCTTAAAATTCGAGAAAAAAAATGAACTGACTGTAATATTAGAGTGAACTGGAAACAGTCTCCATGGTCTTCAAGAACTGAAACAGATTAAGGCAACATAGGATTCGCTTTGGAAGAAAGTCGAACGTCGGCTCCAAGTCACGTGTCCGTTCTCAGTTCCATGAAATTAAATTACACGTTTTGAAGTACCATATTGTCGCCTAAGTGTTCGAGGTTTTTCCCTCCAGTTTTGGCGAAAATAAGAAAATGCTCTTTTGTGTTTCTTCAAATGGTGTTTCACCATCTGCACCATTTTTCAGAATTTATTGATAGTGGACATAGACCACCGGAATACTCAGATAACGATAGGTTAAATGATATTGGAAGGTTAATTCATACCCATACATAACTCTCGCACACATGCACACACTTGCATATATGTCTGTATGAATTTACAGAGTGTCCTATTAGGAACGGTCAGTATTCTGGGAGGTCATAGTATCGGTAATTCTAAGCAAAAAGTGTCCTATTCCGAACGTTTTCCGAGATAGAGCTATTTCACTATACATTTCCAAAACTGTTAATAAGAAAGAGATATTACGTACTGTTTCAAATACTGGTCCTTATTGTTCAAGTGACAAAGTTGGTATAGTTTACCTAGTTAACACAATTTCGAAAATTCCACCGTCAACATCAATGCACTTTGTCACTCGTGTGAGGACGTGGCGTGTTGCTTGTCTGTACAGTGTATAAACCGTTGGGAATAGGACACGTACATATACACTTTTTGCTTAGAATGACCTACACTATGACCTCCCAGAATATTGACTTTCCTACTGGGACATTCTATATATATACACACACACGTATATATGTGTGTGTCAGTCCTATACACTATATCTCTTTCTTTATTACTTAAAGACGTTCTCGGGGGCTCAAATTATATTGCGTTTGTACGCGTTTTTAAAGCAAAAAACCCGAAATCCCGTAATAGCATTTCTTACTGCTGTTACACTTTTTATAAATTTATATTTTAACAGTTACGTTGAGAGATGTATGCTAACCCTTTATTGTGTTGATTACCTGAAAGTCACAAATGACCACCACCAAAACCAATGCATTTTTTGACAATATCATTGTTGCGCGTCACGAATAAGTAGCCTAGCAACAGGCCTGTTTTCAGAGCCGTTCCATAGCAACAGCTGTGTCTGCTGGTGTCACAGTTCTTCCCTTGAGCAAAAATTTCACAGTACATGACCACAATTCTCGAATTATTTTGTATGCATGTGAAGCATAACCATTTTTTTGCCATTTTTTCAGGAAAATTTGAGTGAGCAGTTTAGGCTAGCACATGACAAAAAAACCTGTAATTTATATAGGTCAGATTCTACTTCCTGGATAGTGAAATCGAAGACACTTAGATGGTGTTCGTATGAAATAGAATGGGTGACATGAGAAATGCATATAGAATTTTGATGAAGAAAGTTTTCATGAACGTCCACTTGGAATATGAGAAAGAACAGGGGGCATGTGTTAAGATTTATCTTAAGAAAGTTGTAAGGATGGGAGCTGGATGAAGCTGGCTCAGGATCATGAAAAGTGGCAAGTAATTTATGAACGTTCGAATTTCCTGTTCTGGTATCACACTTTAGTTGCTTGTGTAGTTTCATATTCCTATCTGGAAGCTCCAACAGACGCACGAACACCTGCATTATTGTCGAAATTGGATTTCCGATTGCTTTCAACCTAAAGAGAAGCAATTTAACAGCAAAATACAAGGACAGGAATAATGCGCACTAAGTATTTCCTCACTAACACTTGTAGAAGAGAAGTAATTAAAATTAATTACGTCTTGAAAATAACAATGCTGTAGAAATCCAAGTAACTTAGAACGAAGTTATCAGCAAAATTAAAATGCCTATGAAATTGAACAAATACAGATTTGTTCTAAAAGTTTGTGACGATGGCAAATTGCTCCGGTCCGGAGATAGGGGCTAGCTCCATCTATTTGACCCAACCGAGTAGGTTTCACCTGAGGACGGGGACAGAATCCAGTCTCCGAAACGTTGTGTTTGGAAAATAAACAGGACGGCTTTTTTTTTAAATAGACAAGACGATGGATAATGTCCAAAACCATATTACTTAAAGTACAGATTTATTCCACCAGACAGAAGCGTTTCGATCAGTTCATATCAGCAGAGTGCTTGACGCATGTATGTCCGACTTCTAACTTACGTAAAATCAATCAATGGAAACAACAGATAGGAGCGCGAAACTGTGGCACCCAACTGCAACCTGTCTCACGCGGCTCACCTGTGCCGCATGTCTTTAAATGGAAATTATCCTTAACGCACATATTGACATTTTTGAGTCAGAAAATATTGATGTTTACAAACTTTCATGAAACTGCGTTGAGGAGTTATGCTTTTTGTACAGACGCTCATTAACGTAACATTGTATACACGTGTATAAAACTTCCGTGGTAGCTGAAATAATTTGAAATAATTCAAATACTTAGCATCTAGATCTTCAGGACAGTCATGAGGAGCTCAAATGCTGAGGACATTTATAGTACTGTTGATGGTCTTGTGGCCGATCACAGTGGCCGTGCGGTCTAAAGCATGAACCATCTTCTCTCGCTCGAACGCTAAGAATGTGGGTTCAAATCCCACTCAAGGCATGGATGTGCAGCTTGCGGCCTTGCCACGGGCTGATTTCCCATTCAAGAAGTCCTACCAGGTGTGTGTAGATTTATGAAAGTGAAAAAACAACCAAGGTAGGACGAAGGGCTGTAGAGCAAAAGATGGATGGACGGATGGGCGGATGAATGGATGGATGGATGGCTGGACCGACGGATGGATGGATGAATGGATGGATGGACGGAGGGATGGACGGACGGATCTACGGATGGATGGACGGATGGACGGCTGGATGGATGGAGGGACGGATGGATGGACGGACGGACGGATGGACGGATGAATGGATGGTTGGATGGACGGATGGATGGATGGACGGATGGACGGACGGATGGATGGACAGATGGATGGATGGACGGCTGGATGGATGGACGGACGGATGGATGAATGGATGGTTGGATGGACGGATGGACGGACGGATGGACGGATGAATGGATGGATGGATGGTTGGATGGACGGATGGATGGATGGAGGGAGGGAGGGATGGATGGATGGACGGACGGATGGATGGATGAATGGATGGATGGACGGACGGATGGATGGATGAATGGATGGATGGACGGAGGGATGTGTTCTTGTGTGCTTGTATCCAATATGAATTCCGAGGCACTAACGTACATAGAGACACGGTCCTATAGTTAAAGAATTCAGGAAATTGTGAAGACGGAGATATATCGTTTGCACACTCGATTGGCTTTAGAGTGGCTTATAATTGGAAAAAATAGTCAGTGTGTACAGTTTAAGTTAGGAATGAAACTCAGCACAATTCTCTTATCAATTTAATTCAGTATATTTAGAAACACTTGATCATTTGATTTATTTTTCATGAAAAGGTTTTAAAGTAATGCAGGTAGTAAAGTACTTATCTACATAGCCTTAAAGCTTACAGTAGTATTCACTTTCTAGAAGACTCCTTTAAAGTCACGCCTCTGCCGCTCTGACCGAAGACACTGAAATATCCGAAAAGATACACACACAAGACTGTGTTCCAAAGCAACACTTCACACACGCCATCTTCTTGCTCTGTTCTTCTACACGGAACACGTGCACACTTCAAACTAACGCACATATATCCGACAGAAATGGAATAATTTTATTATCATGAACAAAAAACTTTTGTAATTATTTTTCTTGTGTTTTATTAAGTACCGATTTTTATCACTTTTTCCTTCTTCCCCTTTTTTCTTTTTTTTCTCCACGGCCAATTTTTTTGCAGCAGGGCGTCAGGTTCGACCCCGACATGCCCCAAACCATCCGCCTGGAGTTTGCCAAAAGTAACACCAAGGTCAGCAAGCCAAAACAGCAGGCAGCAGCAGCCACCACGCACCCGTCTCTTATGCACCCACTTACTGGACGTAAGTACAATTAGTCACTGTAGACAAGCATTGCATGCACCTAGCTAAGCTGTCACGCTCATTGTCAGTCACAAACTGTGTATGCTCTTGGGCTCTTCTGAACCGCAGTTCACAGAAACATAGATCTCTTAACTCTGCCAACATTTAGTTATGTTGCCTTTAGAATGTATGTTAAGTATTATGTTAATCCGAGAACGTGAACAAGTTGCTTATTTGTCCAAATAATATTTGTGATGTACTTTAACTCTTCCTGCTTCTAATACTGTGTTCGTCTCTTATATGAAAATGTCAATTTAATATTTTATAATCATAATTATATGTTAAATGTTTTTGTCAAGTTCTTCCATGGTCAGTAAAGCCGTTGAGATTTTGAAATGTAAAACATAAAAAGAAGTAGGTTACTATGGTGAAGAATCGTCTTCTGGGATCTGGCGCCGTGTAGATTTTGTGTAAACCGACGTTTCGGAGGAACATATGACCTCCATCTCCAGGGTATAAAAATCTGCGAGCGAGGAACCAGCGTGAGCAGGTAGCTGCAGCGGATTTTATACCCTGAATATGGAGGCGATTCGTTCCTCCGAAACCTCAGTTTACACAATATCTGCACAGCGCCACATCCCACAAGACGACATTCTTCATAGTCACCGTCGTGAATACCTCAAATCCTACACAGATTAGTATGGTATTCTCAAGTAATATGGCCTACTGCGCATGGATTATTTAAAAAATATATATATTTATTATACTGCAATTGGGTTTTAGCCCGGTGGCAGTAGTACACAATAGGACACAACAGACAAGTAACACACATTACACTAAGTGACAACACGTTCAAACAAAACACAATACACAAAACACAACAATAAGGACATCCTACCACAGTGAATACAAACCAAATACGATTAACAACTATAACAATTACATAGAAATACAAACAACTGCAACAAATACAACAACAATTACAATGGCTTAAATACAATTGAAGAAAATATTCTGAACGTACAAGGAAAGAGGATTTTAAAATGTTCTGCTAGTTGTATGTGCATAGTTAAGATGAGCAGCGATATAGATTAATTAAGTTACGTGATTGTTTGCATTGATTAATTTTCGGAACTTACATTTCATACAATAACCTTTATGACTGCGTTTTGCTTTTATGCCATCTATGTGCAACGTCGGTTACTATTAACTCAACGTTTTTCTTTATTGACACAACATGTTTCTACCTAACCGGTCATCTTCAGGTGTACAGGTTGTTGTGATTAAGGACTCTGTACACCCGTACATCTGACAATGGCCGGTTAGGCCGCAACATGTAGTGACATTAAAGGAAAACGACGAGTGAATAGACGGCACAAAAGCAAAACGCAAAATCAGATCTACGCAGTGCAACAGGGTGCTTCGATATAACAGCTACAACCGTTATGCTGAATATCTAATATTGCTTAGCGACATTAATTTAAAAATAATTACAATTTTTTAACATAAGTTTATTGAGTTTTTGCACCGTATTTTTGGAACTTAAGCCATAAAGAGTAATTTAAACAACCATTAAATTATCTTGTTACTTCAGCCGTTGTTTCAGTTGGAAATTTGCCGGTTTTCTCCTGATGGAGTCAGCATTTCCATTTTCAGCATTTTTTGGATAATAAATTGACGACGGTAATAAATAATAAATCCCTGAGGAATATCCATTTAATAAACTAAATAATTTAAATAGCTTTATCTCTCTCCGATAACATCTATACATTGTAAGTTTAACACTATCGGAAAATCCTAATGAAGTTTATATACAGTCAACATTTTTGGAAGTTGTATAACAGACATGACATGTTTTATCAGAGCAAACACTGCCTGCAGACATGTGTCTATTGGAACAATGGCGCTTCTGCTGATTACACCATTTCAGTGGGATGATGGTTGCCTAACTGCACACGTAGCGCTTTCCAAACTTCGAAATCCCCATAACCTTCAGCACCCGCTTCTGTTTTATACCTATTAGAATCACTAGAGTGGATAACTTTCCATTTTCTTCATCTCCGTACACGCACAATGTGCACGCAGCCTTTGGTCTAAGCAACACGGTAACCCTGAATTCAGTTAACACTTCGTAAACTTAGGTTTCTTCATCATTGCAAGACTGTAGGCTTGCTTACTGTGAAATAAATTAAGTAAGATGGCGCGTGTATCAATAATTTATGTTGTACAAATTCCTGCGATAAATTATCTGAATTTGCCATTTCTATGTATTCTTTAAGAATATTTTGCGAATTTTTGTTATCTTCGAATAGTGTTCCATGATCCGCCAGTTACGTTCAACTCCATCGCTTCAGTCTTATATATGAAATACTTTCTTGCAGTGTTATCCGTTTCCCCTTCCGGTTCTCTCTGTCTGTAACCTACTCTGAAGGCGGCTGTTATCGGTGCGCAGTGTATACATGATTTTCATAACGTCCATTGGTTTCTGTGCCTCTTAATGACTGTAAAAAACCTCCGTGGCTTTAGTCCGCAAGTGAACAATACCGACCGAGCAACTGTAGTTTGTCGGTGAAGTTAGTGCCAACTTTAGCGAATAGATGGTGTCGCGTGATCGCTCAACGAATCCCAACGGCCATTAATTTCAGTTTTCTAGACAGGAGCCGCTACTTTTCCATTCAAGTAGCTTCTCAATTATCCTCAATTACTGTAAACAATATTAAATAGGTAAAGTAGAAAACATATTCTTAAGACTGTCCTAAAGAATAGAAGGTAAAATTGTCCCTGTACTTAACTAAACAGGACTCATAAAGACGAATGCGGACGAGAATATAATGTCAAGCTATTGAGTGTGACTATAGACGGGGTTTGATTTAGTAATTTGATTTATTGGGCACTTTAACATTCACAATTCGTGACTACACTTTACAATTTACTAACACACGGACTAGTGTTCTCAGTCACGGTCTTCACTACGCTACTTGGTAACTTCTTCCAACAGTGGAAGCTCCTCTGCTTCCAGGTTCACGTCTTCGCAGGCTGGGGGCCATCTCCCACCAGCCTCCTCCTCTTCTCACTGCCGTCTCAGGGCTCTCTCCTAATGGCAGGTCCTCGTATAGCTTCGGCACGGACAGCGCAGTAAACACCGCTTCCATTATTGCGTGGGTATCTGTTGCGGTGATTGCGTGACGGCTACTGAGCCCTGTTTGCGGAGTCGTTCACTAGCATTATCTTCGGAGCCAAATGGCATGAATGATGGGCTTTACATTCCGGCCACCTTAACTACGGGGAAGAAGGATCGACATCCATTACGTAGAGACCGTATGGGCCACAGAGCCGGCCTGAACTCTGTGAGGAAAACCAAACGTTTTACCCTTTCCAGAACTCAAGCCGTTGTCGAAACTGTAACCTATAGCTACCAGTGTACCGACTGAGATATTCCGACTTCACACAACGAATAAGCAGTTATGTTTTTACATACAGCTTGTTTTAGTAGAAACCCGGCTGAGGAACCTGTGCTGCCGCCTATGGGCAATACCGATAAATACATATAGACCTTCTGTGCCTTGTTGATCTGAGAGTTTGCAGTTGGACAGTGATTATTCGCATAAATCATATAACTAACTGACTACCGGGGAGATGAACCCTTCATAAGAAACCGTCAGCCGTTATTTAACTTAGGAACTTCCTAGCATTTCATGGAACCAAAAGGTTCATTCCCATGTTCACAAGAGCCCGCCACTGTTCCCAGTCCTGAACCAGATCAATCCAGTCCACACCATCCCATACTATCTCTCTAAGGGGGCCCATACACGTGCGAGTCTGGCTCGCGAGTCCGACTCGGCTCGGGTTTTAATGAGCCAAACTCGTCCGTGTGTGGATCGCCACGCTCATAAGTGTGTGGTGAAATTAATCCGAGCCCGGCTCCTCGCCAAGCCCGATTCGTACTGTATGGGCCGCCTTAGATCCGTTTCAGTTTTGTTCACCCACGTACGTCTTAGTCTTCCTAGTGGTATCCATCCTTCGGGCTTTGACATCGTTACCTTTTATGCATTACTCTTCATCCCATTCGTGCTACATTCCCTGCCAATCTAATCCTCCTTGACTTGATCATTCTAATTATACTTGGCGAAGAGTACAGGTTATAAGGCTCTGCATTATGTCGTTTTCTCCAACCTCCTGTCACTTTATCTCCATTCGGTCCAAATTCTCTCCTCAACACCCTGTTCTCAAACACCCTCAGTCTATGTTCTTCCCTTAATAACAGAGACCAAGTTTCATATTCAACCAGAACCACAGCAGAATTATAGTTTTTATATTCTAAGTTTTACGTTCTTAGACAGCAGACCACGAAATACTTCGGTCAGGATAGCTGGTGCCCAGGCCGAGAATCGAAACTGGGACCTCCGTAATACCACGCCAGAAATGTTTAATCTTGAGGCAATTTGCTGTTTCAGATTTGAATATCCTTCCATCTAGGCACGCGGTAGCATGGTTGGTTGAGGCACTATGCTACAAGACGGAAGGTCGCGGGTTCCAATCCCGATGAGGTGGATTATTTTCAATTTACCTAATTGTTCCAGCAGCATTATGGCCTTAGGGTCGACTCAGACTCTAGCAGGAATGAGTACCAGGAATCTTCCTGGGTATAAAGGGCGGCCGGCTCGTAAGGCTGACAGCCTCACGCCATCTGTGAGCTGATTGCTATAGATATTGTGGGAGCTCGACGTCTCACAGCCCTATTGGCCTTCACGGCCTTTTACAGGGATAGCTGTTTTATCATTTACGCCTTGGTCTTCCAAATTTCGAGTGAAATTTTGTGTGCTGTCTGCTCTCGCCGTTCATCACCCATCTTCTCCTTCATCTGAAGAATGAAGCTTTAAGCACATATTGTGGATGCGACCCGTTGTTTTCCACAGGAAATATCCACCTCCGTGCAAAGCCTAACATCTCATTTTGACATTTTCTCTAGCATCCCGTTTCTTTCTAGCCTATTTTACTTATTTTGATAAATAAAAGGAGGC